CACTCACACTCACACTCACACTCACACTCACACTCACTCTCACCCACACTCTCTCTCACTCGCACTCGCGCTCGCACTCGCACTCACACTCACACTACTCACTCACCCACTGTCACTCCCACTCCCACTCCCACTCTCACTCACACACTCACTCACTCACTCCCTCCCTCCCTCGCTCGCTCGCTCACTCACTCACTCACTCACTCACGAGCACCGCCACCGTCACCACGATCGCCACCTTCATCACACCATCACCACTCTGGCTCTAGATTTCTAGACTTTCTGCTTATAGACCTCACACACTGTTTGGGGTCTCTTGCCGGGATATTTTTTTGGGGAACATGCTTGTGCCTCAGAAGCAAGAAAGCAGAAAACATGAAAAAGAGCGTTGAAAGTATCACATGACTTGGTCATTTCATGTCTCTTTGCAGCCTCGGCTTGAACCAGCTTGACTCGACGACACGCATGCCCATGGCACGCACCACACACCCACACCCACATTTCACACTACACACACACATGTCCACAGAGGCACATAACTAGCGCCGCAACATAACAACATATTTGCGGTTCTATGACAATTGTCTCGCTCTTTCGACACCTTCGGTTTCTTTTTTTGTCCGTTGCAATGTCTCTCTCTTGGATTGACATCACGGACGACGAGATGTGGACAGTGGAGGAGCGGTTTTGCTGGTCGAACAGCGACAGGTTAGGTAGTAGGTAAGTTAAGTCATTCGTCTGATGGCAGGAGCTCGCGAAAATGTTCGGCACCGAGGCTGGGCACTTAGAGCTTTCAGGCCATTGTGTCAGGACATCCTTAGTCAGGACACGCCCGCGGACGCAGAGCTGGATGAGGCTTGGGCGATGAAAACGGTTTCGGGAGGAGAGTCGCCGTCGTACTCGAATCTACACGCAGTCTTTCACGAAAAAGCTGAACACACTTAGTCATAGGGTTTTCCGTTAACTCTGTTCCACGCGAAAAGGGACGAAGCAACGGAGTGGCGGCTGGGTCCAGTGACTTGAAGGTGCTTTAACAAAAGAGTTCGCGCGTGACTGCAGAAAACTAGTTACTGAATACTTAGCAGACCAAGGAAAGGAAAGAGTGAACCGAAAGGTGAACGAATTGACGCCGTGCATAGAAAAGGCTTAGGGGAATATCATGCAAACACCACGCAAACAAACCGCAGCGGAGGAGGAGGTCAACAGTTCAAATTTCAGCAGGTACGTGGAAATGACGTCCCATTTCCATATCCTCGGATACATCGCCAGCTTCGTTGACCAGGCGACGATGTATCCTGCCTGGTCCCCTGCTTTTACAAAACCAAGAACACTTAGAACTCTTAGAAACAGAATGTGACACACACACACGCACTCAAGATATGATGCGGTCGATTCGCTTGCGCCACCTCCCAAAGGCCTATGAATCCAAGGGTTACACACACATATCACATCACTCATCATTTATCATATGCTCTGTTGCTGTGTGTCCTTCCATGATCCGAGGAATGGCAGACGATCATTGGACGGGCGTGTGAAACCGTGTCGGAGCAGCGCCGTGCAGCGCCGCTGGGCGGTCAGCGTTTGTGGGGAATCTGTGCCGCTGGGAGAGGGTGAGAGACCTGGTTTTTTGATCCGAACAAGTGGTGCATATGGGATATCGGCTGCCAGGCAAAAAAGGGTATTAGGAAGTTTTGGATTGAACAGATTTATCCAACCGAGAAGGGGAGGCATGTGAAAAGGGTTCACCTTGCAAACTCCTTGTTTGGGGATTGGTTCTGAACCTGAAACAGGGTCTTAAACTTAAATTTTCATTTTTGCGGTGAAAACTGAAGTGGGACGTGCCAAGGACACATCTCAGCGGCGATGATCTCAGCGCCGATGATGCTGCGTGCATCACCGGTGGCGCTGTGGCACGCTGCGTGGGTGGCGCAGACACGTGAGGCGCTGCGCGAACACAACTCACAGCTGCCGCGAAGGGTGGAAAAAACTGTTGAAGAGAGGAGGACATTTCGCTGCGACTGGCGGTGACATTCATGGAGTAGGGGCCAGTGGAAAATAGAGGAAA